ATATATATATTAGAGAAGCAGTTGTGCCCAGCGCAGAAACAAAGTTTTGATATTTTTTATTAAATTGTAGGAATTTATTCATCTTAAGACAAAACAAACACAAGTTTTAGTACATTAAAATACAAGTGCCTTGATCTGGATAGAGTCTAAATGTTTATTAGTTTTACTGTAATTGTTTTGTAMAAGTTAATCAGTCTCAGCTACTACCACACAAAACTTTAGCTCAATATTTAAAAAAAATGACTGATCTAGCCATGGCTGTGTATTTGACTGTGGCAGACATCTTGAATCAGACTAACTTTAAAAGTTAATCAGCTGTAGATGCATTTAAGTCCATCCAACCGTTCATGATATATTTTTCTAACATTTTACTTCAAATCTTGCAGATTTAAAATTTAAGGAAACAACAAATAAATATCTTACTCTTTTTTGTCTTAAATGAATCCAAAATTTTMAATTTAAACTTTGTTTCAAATGCACAAAAAACATGATCAAGCTCCAATTTTACTGACTTTAGTTTTAGAAAAATAAAACCCTTTATAAGCTTTGAAAAATTCAGTTTCAGCGCCGTATTTTGTGAAAAGGTTAACGAGTTTTTCAATAAAACAGAAAAATATGAAGAAAATTCCCGCAGTATGAATCGAGGTGCCGKGAGAATATGTCGAAGCACAATGCTTCACGCCTCCTCGTTGGAGCCACGGCACCGAACCGCAGCAACTCTCGCAGCAACTTTGAAAGTTGCCAGAGAGTTTTCTCAGGGGCGGCTTGGCCCGCGACGGCGTGCCAGTCCGGTTGGAGTTGGCTGAGGCAGCGAAAAGACAAGCCCACTGCCTGACGGGGTATTTACGTGGGCTGTGGGTGTGGGGGAAGATGGCACTAATTAAAATGGAATGGACTTGTTTGGGAAGCTGTGAAACTCTAAGTGGATTTGGGGGTGTGTGTGTTGGGTGGGGGGGAGCGTACTTGAGCATTATGACATATCTTTGTGTTTTTTTCCAGATTATTTTTTTGTGATTTCTCATCACAAAGCAGTCCCTGTCTGTTTGGACGTCAGTGTGTGTGTTTGTGCACGTGTTGGAAACATGTTCTGGCTGCGTCCCGTGTTAATGTGAGGAGAACCTGGGGCAGGTCACATTACCCCCACCCACCAACTCCCCCCCCCTCCTCTCTCCGTCTTCTGCTAGCCCCCCTACTGTGCATTTATTCCCAGCATCCCCTGGCAAGCACCAGCCTCTCTTCCTCTGTCTCTCTCTCTCCATCATGGTAAACAACACATTGCCACACAGCCGGAGCGTGATAGCCAAATAATAAAAAAAATAAATAAATAAAAGTCCTGCAGAACGCCTTCGTTTTGTTGCTTTTTATACGTCAAAAAATAGACCAGACAAAAGGAAGGAGCCAAAAGGACTGAGCGAAAGRAGGAGAGATGCTGAGTGTAAACAGGAAGGCTGTATTTGGACTGGTTTTTCTATTAACAGGGAGATGTTKTTGTTGGGGCGAGCTCGCCTTTTGGGAAACATCCAGACTCTTAATGTGGGAGAAGGGTCAGCCTCTACCTTTCTTAGTAAAGAACATGTTTTTTTTCTTCTTCAAATATTTCTGGATGCTGTGGTACTCACTGCAGCCAGGCTTGTAGTTGAAGCCAGGGGGCATCAGGAAGCCCTGCTGGGCTGCAGCCGCCGCCAGAGTCCGCTGGTCGGGAGGAAAGACGGGAATCATCAGCGGAGGGAGCTGGCCCTGGACCTGCTGATGGAGGAGGAGGAGTACAGGTGGAAGGAAGAAAAATAAAAACATCAGCACCTCCTAAACTGGCACGACTTGTGCACAAAAAATGAGAAATTAAGTAATTATTTCTTAAAGAAGCAGTCACTGTTTGCTACCTTTTGTAATTTCATGAGATATTTTGCTAACAGACCTTAAAGTGTCTGGGACACGCGTACTTCAAATACAAAAAAATCAAAGAAAACACCTTTATATTTAAAAACTTATGGGTAAAACACAATTTTACCCATTTTTGGTCACATAACTGGCCTGTTTTCTGTTGAACGTGGTCCAGTCGAAGTGAAACAGGAAGTGACATCAAAGGGGAACTCTCTGGTCTTTATTAAAAACATTATTATTTGAACTCTGACTCTTCTTTATCTCTCTGATAGTGACTCAAAATCTAAACAGCTTCTTCTGCAGTCTGTTTTTACTGTTGTAGTGCTCTGTTTACATGCAGTCATTCCCCTTTGACATCACTTCCTGTTATTGCACATGCAACTATCTCAACAGCTGTTCATCTCAGTAGCGTAAAATAAATTTTGCAATATGTTAAAAATGTTAACTTTCCAAAAATGCATTCACATTTATTACAAAAGTTTGATGCCACAGGCACTTTAAAAAGTCAGTATTTTATGTGCGAAGTGTCTGACATCTTCTCATACAGACTACTGGTTTTGAAAATAAAATAAAAACACCTCAAACACACGTCAAATCCACGTGTTAACCTTTCAAAAAGCCACCAAAAATTGAAGGTCAGCGTTTTGTTGCCACGTTTTTTTTGCACAAACACTAAAGGTAGAGCCGCCTTGGTGTTGTTTGGACCTTTAAAATCAGAATGAAACGAGCCCAAAAGACACAAAACAAGCCACAAGGACGGTTCACTAAACTGTAACAACAGCTGGCCTTTTGCTTTCACTTGGAGGATAATGTCTTCTCCGTTCTCCACGCACACAAACACACGCACAAACCCTCCGTGCGCCTGTCGGCAGAGAGCCATACGACTTCATAAGGTTTCCAGGATTTTAAAAGAAGATGCAGGAAGAAGGAAAAAAAACAGCTCCTCCGTTGGGTGACTTTGGCAGCAGAGTGAGAGAGAAAGGAGGAGAAAGAGAGAGAGAGAAGTAGGAGACAGATGGTTGCACTAAACAGCGATCTGCCAAAAACAACACACAAAGACTTGCATGTGATGGACTGACTGACAGTGAGGAAGAGGAGAGGAAGTGAGGAATAAGGTGAGAGGAGGAGGAAGTGATTGAGATGAGAGCTGGGGATGATGGAGGAGCAGAAAACCCAAACTACCACAGAACGAAGTTTGATTTCTCCTCAGAGCTCAGAGAAGGCGTTGGGGTCGACTCTCAGCTACAACCACAGCAGAGCTCCGTATCTGCAACATTAATGGACGGAGTCGCAATAAAAGATCCGTCAAATCTGTTTTTCACTCCGAAGGCCTCCGAGTGCATTATCCTKGTTTCAGTTAAACACACACAGCGTMTCTTTTCAGTCTCCTCAGATGAACAATGCTCGCYCACACTGTTCTGAAATAAAAGTGGAAAAAAGCTGCAGATTCTTCATTTCATCCACCACGTTACATTTGTTTTTCCTTCTTATTCAAACGGGCGCTGGCACCTGTTTGCCTCTCCACAATACAAACAAACAAACTTGTTAATTATTTTTTGGGGGGCCTTTTGAACTGTCGGGGCTGTAAAGAGCCGTGGTCTCTCTCTGCGACTCATCCCTCTCTCTCCTTCGCCTTCTGTCGCTTTCATTTTGCCAGGAGGCCGGAGAGGTAATGGCTGAATAGAATAATGGGCAGGTAAAAGCCGTGTGATGTGGGAAAATTGATCTGGAATGATGGAAATGGCTGTACAATCATAAAGGATGGTGGTGCCGCGGTACAATCAGGTAATATCTCAGCACTTGAAGTGGTTAGTGTTTGAGACGGTGTCGCTGAGCGCTAACAGGGCTGTTACAGCGTGCTGTAAGTACCTACGAGCCTCCTCCTCCTCCTCCTCCTCCTGCCCCCACGTGTTGGCATGCCAGCAGCACTGTAATCAAACTATCACAGCGCAGGGGAATAGCACTCTCTTCAAGCAACTTGTCCCTACCCCCTCTTCCTCTTTTACTGAAAACAATAATTACTCCGCCATTTTTTTCTTTTCTTTTTTTTTTTTTGGTTAACCATAAACCGCCGTGCTGCCATGATCAGAAGGGGGGGAGGCGTTCCAGCGCGACGCTCGGACAGGACCCCCGCAGGGACGAATCACAGACAGAACAGTTCTGCTTTGCCTTTCAGGCCTAATTGGACATATGCTGGAGTAGAGCTGGCGAGCAAAACTGTAACGTACCGAAGAGAGGAAGAGGAGTCTGATAAAATACGTACACGCTAGCATGACACTAACGCGCACGAGGCTTCTAGCTTTCTTTTGCAAAATGAAATCATCATAGAAAACCCTTCAAAGCGTCTCCCCTCTCTGTCTTTTCTTCTCTTTTGATGTGGTAACAAAACRCTTTCACACAATAGGCAGATAATCAGTCTACAGAACTGTTGCGTAACACGTGTAAGTCCTCATAATGACGAGAAATAAGATCAGGCTGCAAAAACAAGGCAACAAAAGAAGGAAAACAACACAAAAACATTTTATTTCATATGTTGCTGCTGACGTACTTCTGATGAGCTTAAGGTGGGGAAGTCATGTCATTACCCCTATCAAAATAAAAGACTATCAGTCCTAACATAAACCTTTACTATATGACAAAAAAATTCTCGAAGCATGTTTGATATATAATAATTTAAGTAGTTTAAATAAACCTACTTTGAAAATACAACATTGATAATTTAATGTACAAAAATTTCACGGTGCTGAGATGAACAGCTGTTGAGATATTTGCATGTGAAGCAACAGGAAGTGATGTCAAAGGGGAACGTCTGCAACAGACTGTAGAGAAGAATCTGATGTTTCTTTAAAATATTTTGAGTCACCATCAAAGAGACAAAGCAGTAATGTTTCAATAAATAATGACCAGGAAGTTCCTTTTCTTAAAGAGTTCCCCTTTGATGTCACTTCCTGTTTTAATTTGGCAGAGCTAAATTCAAAGAAAATATGCCAGTTATGTGACATAAAATCATGTGTATTATGAAATTTCTTAAAAATAAAGATGTTTTATTTGATGTTTTGTATTTGAAGGATATCACTGACACTTTAAAGGAGGCCAATAATCCGCAGCATCCATGTCTTGTTTGAGCAGACTTTAAATTACCAACAGATTTACTGTTATTGTACAGAAAAACTGTAAAAATTTACATTACTTCAGATTTATAAATATTCCTCCACATACAGACAAATTTAATGGCACCATTTAACAACCAAAAAAACTCAAGTAAATGATGTTGGGTCTTGTCAACACATTTTGACAAATTCCTGACTGCCTGGCTCTTCTAACATGCACACTGTGCTTAATCAACCTGGGGTCGCATTTCCTCTTGCGCCCATGTCCTGGAAGGTTGGCTACAGTCCCAGAAATTGTATAATTTTTATTAAAATTGTCAGTCAGGGTCATCTATAAACACCCAGTAGCTGTTTTTTCTCTTTAAATAAGCTGAATGGCAACTGAAAAGCTTTAAGGTAAACTATAATGCAAAGATTTGTCTTTTTAAACGTACCGACAAACCATCTTTTTTAGCATCTTTGCTGTGAGAGGACCAACACGTTTCTCCACGTCTGTAATGAATATTCCATAATGCAGTACCTAAAAGTAAATTTGGAGATTTTCATGTTGGCTTTCTGATCTTAATGTTAACTTTGAAAGCAAGAATAAAGAAAAGAGGAAGTTCTACAGTGAATCAGAGACAAAGGAAATGAACTGAGATGGAACTACGAGAACGAGGCCGGATCTGTCAGCCAATCTCCACATAAAGGAAGAGGGAGTTCAGAAACAGTGGGGACGTTAGGGAATAATGCACTTCTCAGCTTTTCTTTCTCATCAGGCCCAAAGCGAAGATGAAAAACGCACAAAACACACAGACAAAGCACCGCGCCGCTGCTGCTCCAGTCTGCTGACTTGCTTTTTATCTGCACACCCTCACAACTTCTCGGCTGAGAGAGAAACCTGAAGCGAGCGGGGCTGGAACCCATCTGAAACATTCCTCTAATCAGCGATAACCAAAAGAGAGACAAAGGCAAACAGAGAGAGAAATCACAAATATACGTGAGGAAACAAGACTTTTTAGAACTTTCACAGGGGCAAAAGGAGAAACTGACCCTGTCGAGACAACTCCTTGGGAAAGAAAACAGCAGACAGATACGACAGAATGAAGAAGAGAGGGAGAGGAAGACGCAGGGAGAGACGAAGAGCAAAAGAGTTGGATAATTGGCAACGAGTTGAGGCTGCGTTCACCACGCGCCAGGCGGCACAGCTTGAACTTAAAGCGCCGCTGCGGCATAATGAAGATGTGGCCGCTAATTAACATATGGGGTGCGAAACAGGTTGGTTGGCACGCGGCACGCTAAAAAAAATAAATAAAAAAACTCCAAGGTAAAGTTATTATTGGGGAGTAATTAGCTCTATGAAGTTAATGCGCCGAACAATAGCTGCCAGCGCCGCGCAATATGGCTCGCGTTTGAGCGCGCGAGAAAATAGCCCCCGCTAAAGTGCGAGTCCCACAGCTAAAATCTGTTGGCGACCATATGTTGTGGCAATTAATGCAAGACCTGGACGACCTATTGCTGAAGAGGTGACGCACAAGCAATAGAACCAATAATTAATTTGGGCTGAGGGAGAAGAAGAGAAGCAGAGAAATGGCTGCTATTTAAAATCAGCCCGTTTGTTTCCTGTGGACGGCGCCGTCACACCGCTGCGCCGGGAGCATAAAGGGGGTCGGTTCAGGTGGAAACGGGGGGCCACGATTGGTCAGAATGCGTGTCAAGGCATGTGAGGCCGCGGGTGAGTCTCAGCGGGACATGGCTTTGTGTTGCTGTGATCCA